CTGTTGTATCCTAGCAACCAGTAAGTTGTCATCAAACCTTTACCCTGAAAAACAATGACATTGACTTACGTGGTAAGAGTAAATCTTATTATATGCATAAATATTTTCTAACCAACAAATAACGTTAAGATTATTGCCCTAAGACTTGATAATAAAACAACACATAAGAAAGATAATTAATAAATATTTAAACCTAAAAGTTGCGATGTTATTATATATTTTTGTAAAATCTGCCATAATAAAAGTAGTTACCTTGACCTCTATCTGACCTCGTTTTCGTATTTGAAATTTAATGAGTTTCCGCAAATGTTTGGTGGATGACTTAGTCATCTGTATCTGCATTGCTTCAAAATAAAATATAAAATAAACATGTATCAAATATAAGAATAAGACTTCAATATTTTTACTTTTAGAGAAACTAAGGACTCATTTATAATGCGATATTAAGAGTTATAACTTAAAATTAATAATTGGGAAACAATTCCGCCGGTGTGCATACAGTAAGAATCATGCGAGTTGGAATGGTGTAATACGATGCAAATTTGTATATCGACTCAAAATTACATGGATTAATTCAGGAATGAAAAGACATCTGAAATGACAGTATACATAACCATGCATGCTTCTGAGCAACATTCATTCTCTCTGAACATATTATTCATATTCACAGACATATCTTCAATTACTTCTAACCTAGGAAAAATGTATCCTTGAGGGGCTAAAAGATTTGTGTTGCTACAATGTTATTTGCTGTATACTAGTATATCTTACGTATTCCAGTTGATTCCATCCTTGAGGCAGTATTGACGGTGTCACCAAATATACAATATCTCGGCATTCTTATACCAACAACTCCAGCAACACATGGACCTGTAAAAACAACCAACACATATCTATTCTTATATTAAATGAACACATAAAATGAGGATAGTTATTTTATTTCTAAGAGTAACATTGTACTTGTTTCTGTATTTAATATTTTTCTTTATTTCACTTAGTCTAATAATTATTATAAGTCTAAAACATTCAACAAGTTGAAAGATCCCTATTCTAATGTTATATTTACACAACAATGGATGTGTGATCTTTTGTTGACAAATACATGTTTATTGTGGTGAAATTATTATTGTAATCTACAAATCAGAAAAATAGAATTTGTCAGGAAAGGGATCTATGCGTTGTGACATAAATGCCGCCGAGCTTACCATCACTAAACATTATATTAACCAATCCGACAATTGATTCATGTATACCAACCAAACGGAGTATATTATTGTTACAAAGTCATAAAGATTACATCACTGATCATGACTAAATATAAACAAACGTTGAAACATTGTCAAGGTGTCATTACCTGTATGAAAACCAATCCTTAATTGAAGATGATTTTCCCGAAGGTTGTCAATGTCCACATGCTTAACAGTATTTAGAAGATCTAAAGATAGTCTAGCTATCTCAATGACGTGTCGATCTTCATTTCTTTTCGGCAGACCTGACGCAACCATGTATCCATCACCTGAAATAAGCATGGTTAATAGTGTAGATTTATTGCCTATTGAAGATGAATATCATTGAAATATTACTATATAAGATATACTATTAAGACACGAATCATGTTTTTACTTCTGAATCAATAATAAGTTAATGGACGCTTTATAACTAAACAATGTAAAATAAACCTTGCAATAATCGTTATGTTTTGATATCTTATAATATTGACAATTGTAACGACTTAGTAAACACCTGCGTAAATTATACCAGCTTCGCGATTATTCAATAAAAAGCGACGTTACAAACGTGCAGTATTATAAAACTGTGACAACTACAGGGAATCGATTCTTTCACTCAGTGGTCTACATGGTCTAGAACGCTGTTACTTTTACTTGTAAGCGTTAGGTTGCGAGTTCGAATCTCAGTCACGGCGGGTTTTTTATGATGCATTTGCACTTTTGTTTAACAAGCTTAAAATGGTCGTATCAAACTTAATTTTAAATGCGTTTGTTAGAAGAAATTGAATCTAAGTTAAAGAAATTATCCTGGAGGTTCCCGGCATCTTAATATTAGATTTAAATCTTAACAAGCGTTTGATACTGTTCAGCAATAAGTGTATTTGCTTATTCAAATCAAATGACCAACATACTTTGGTTAAAAACTATGATTTTAGTTATTAAACATGAAACGCGTAATGGCAATGTAACTCTTACCTATTGTTTCTACTTTGTAAACATCAAATAGTTCCAACCGACCATCTATTGCCATGTACAGTCCATTAAGCATTGCCACAACCTGCATTGGGGTGATGACACTAAAAGAAAGAGAACTAGATTATAACATGGTTATGTTGAGGCAAGATTAGCTAACTATCATCAAGTAAATAAAATATTAATAGTAGTCAACACGTTATGGGTTCTGTAAACTACTAAGATCACCGGTAGAAATGGAGTTGATTTCGAAAAATTGAAAAGAAAATGACATAAATGAACGTAGCATCTTATTTAAATGTCAAATTCCTTCTTATGTTAACGGCCGGGCATTTAAATCTTATTATGTCATACATATTGCAAATACTTAGAGCTGTTAAATATATACATTTTATGAAGTTTATTTTTTTTTTGTAAGGACTTAACTTTTTCGTTATGACTTACCTATGTCATTAGCAGTTCAATTTAAAATAATTAAAAATCATTTAATTTTATTCGAATTAAGTCATGTACAATTATAGCAAGGTAAAATAAATTTCATTTTGTAGAAAAACAGTTAAATCGCAAAAAAACCAATACTAGAAAATACACCAGCCTGGAAATCCTTGTAAATCCAACAACGTCAGAAAACATAATTGTCGCTGCATTATACGACTCAGGCTCAACAAATCCATTTTCCATAATTGTATTTGCCACAGACTTTGGAAGAAGCTGATACAAAAGTTCTTCCGTCCGTTTCCGCTCCGTCTCCAATTTTTGTATTAGTAATTCTGTTTGGTGTTTTTCCGCTTCGAGATGAAACTTCTTCTTCTCCAGCAAAGATGATATGTTGACGATATTATTCACCAGGAAAAATATAATTGGAACTGTGACAATAGCTATAAAAAGTTGAACAATGCATGCTACAAGAGTGCTTTCTACATACTTGTTTTCCTCGACTGCATGCTGAAAATATGAAAACTATAAAACTGACGTGTCCGTATGAACATTTTTCTGTTTCGTTCTGCTATTCAGAACTGTAAATATACAGAAACTATGCCAAGCACACAAGTGATAAATATTTAATTCTAAGGACAACGTTTCAATTGTTTTGTATTGTACGATCATTGCGAATTGCAGCATTTCCTAATTGATGATTCATTTGTTTTCGTTGCTTTGTGATTTCTTGTGCTTTATTTTTAGATTTGCTTTTGTTGTTTAAGAGCCTATTTTCGAAAACATATTAAATCATCTTTTTGATAGAATACAACAAAGGCAATAAGGAAGTATTGGACACATATTCTGCGTTTCATTTCGTTCATAATTTCTAGGTAGGGTTAATTTCGCTAAGATTCTGCGTAATTAATAACTTTTAATGTGTCTATATTATTGATAAATATATCATAAAAGATCAGTTGTCTTCTATCCAAAGTATTTTATTTCAATGAATTAACTTTCGTTCAACTAACAGTGGACTAATTTCCGCAACCGATTTATCCATATCGTTAGTCATCTAATTAATTTATTTCCCGAGATGATGTCTAATAATTAGAAATCTTGCGTATCGTTAATGCAAATTGGTTTCCGTTCTTTCTTTACGAGTGTTTTAGACGAAGCAAAATAATTTCTTCTCATTACAAATAAAGCTGTAACAATCACAATTGTATGATGTCCTGGAATTTTTAATGATTCATGTATAGGTAATTGTCTCGTTTGTAAACCTGGTACACCAATCAGTACGTGACTAAAGGATACTTTCATATCGACAAAAGGTCAAAACTCTTCATATCTTTCAAGCAAATTAAGCCTAAATAAGTCTAGATCTTTCTGATTTCTGTTCTTATAAGTGGAGACAAAATCAATGTTTGGTTAATGTTACTTTGAATAAATAATAAAATGAGATCTAATGAGGTTCTTTAACAATATGTTCAAGAAGAAAAAGCAAGGCGAATATTTCTTGGAATTAAGAGTAAATTTATTTCTTATTAAGCTCTATTTTGTGTTGTGTTACAAAGCATTTCACATTTGCAACAATGTATTATCCCTTATGGAAAAAATGTTTAAATAAGAGTACTGTTTGAAAGATGGAAAAATGTAAATACTAAACATACAAATTCTAGGTGCAATTATGTCTTATCATATGATATACGAAGATTATCCAAAAGTTCGCATAATGATACCAAGAATCTTGCATATTGTTTCCTGAATCGTTGACGGGTTTATCTGATGTCATTCATTGAAAGTTTTTGTATTATAAATACATAAACGTGCTTGTACAGCATGCATGATTGACTTAATCGGTAGTAAAAAAGTAAACAAATGGAATATAGTAAAGTTATGTGTGCTTCTTTAAATCCTATCTAATGAAACAATCAAAATGATAAACAAGCAACAGAACGATGACAGAGCAAGACTTGATAATGACACAAAGTTTTATAAAAAGTTTTGCTAGCAAATTCCGACTGGAAAGACGAACACTTATTCATAGCCATGGCGGCTTTGTAACTTCGATCTAAAGACAGACGACGAATGTGTGTTGTGTGTCGGACAGAATCTAGATCAGCAAAGAATTTCCACACACTATGTAAATAGATATTCTTGGAATGCGAACTGATCTGGTACATTGTACGCTTGGTGCCCATGCTATTTATCAAGGACAAACTGAATCATATAATGCGTTTACGTCGAAATGACGTCGGAACTTGGGCCGCTACCACATTACTACAAAGGTTTAAATATTTGTTATTTGTAAACCCATCTCATAAAATAAATGAAATTCTCTATATAACATAGAATTACAGAATTAGGCATAGGTAGTGATGTTGATATGTTTTAATTTTTCGTGTTTAGTTTTCAAGCATTATGCGAACTTTTGACATACCTCATATTATGATTTCTTAATTTTATTTTTGCAATTTATAGTTTTACTAATAATATCATCATTACCTGAACAATCCGCTCAGCAAGAGCGTCTTGTATGACCTCTAAAATGTTTATATATTCCGTCATGTTATCAAACCATACAATACCGGATGCTGCTGAGGCGTTTTGAGCTATATTCTGGCTTATTTTACTTCGCATCATCTTTATATCAGCTGCAAGTTGTGTTTGAATAAACATGTCCTCAAACATATTCCTTGCAAAATCAGAGTTCATCATTGACCGGTTTAAAAAGTGGTGTCCCAATACGCGCTTCTCGTTGTAGAGTAATAGATCCTTGCTTGGCAACAACCCTTAAAAATTCAATTCAAATATATCTTACAATGACTTTTTGAATCTTTATCTCGCATGAACGTAATGCTCTTGTCAAACGACACTAATGTTTATATTAGGCTAGTTTAAGCCTGCTTGTATACGCTTAATGCCATGAGGATTCGAACTTGTGAATCTTTGCTAACGATAAAATTAAATTCAAATATACAATAATAAATCATATGCCATTCCTTACAAATAAATTATTTACCACAAAAACAAAACAACATGAAAAATACAAATTTAATTTGCAAACATATGGATCCATTAAATATCTACCTTATATGCACTTAAGATAACCAAATAGCGTTTTTATAATGCACACATAAGTTTCATTACACGATTTAATGAGTATTACATACAAGCATTAAAACAATACGCCTTAGTAGATAATGCACAAATGATATCTCATGTCACTGAGCATGATGAAATATAATATTTAGACCTGCTTAGTAATTAAATTACCGAATTGTGAGAAAAAGCGTCCATGTTGTAGCAGTTATGGAGTATGTGGGTACAAAAACAAAGTTTTATCTTCATCCACGGGTTATTCTTTTACTATGATAATTTAAGCCGAATTACAAAATTCGAATAAATATCATTCGTTAAAATATTCTATAACAAATTACCATGATATTTTTCTCGATAATCATCTTTAGTGACTTAATCTTAAAAGAAATGATAATTTAAATATACATAAATATACATCAGTATACATATATACACTGACAAGTTTCCAAGGCAATTTAAATGCATTTTGAACGGCAAATGACAAAAAAAATGAGTAATACCTCTAGCAAAATATGTACTCCCTAAAGCACGTTCTATACCGGCCTGTTCTTTGCCATACAAAAGTAGTTCATACGCAGTTAACTCCAACCAGTGTCTAAAAGGCACATTGATGTTGATGTTCTCACCGATAAGTGAGCTGATTACTATGTTTATATCAGAATAAAATTTAAGAACGTCATGAAGTGTTTTATTTTCTGAATGCACATCTGCGCGAAATGCCTCAATGTATGCTTTGAAGCTATTTCGTGATTGAAAGTGCTCAAGATTTGTTTGAGTTTCCCACTCGTTGAGGTCCAACAAAGCTGTATTCGTGAGAATGTATAATAATGATAGTCTCTGTACTATCTCTCGGCGATCTTTGTCAGTTTCAGATGACACAAACAGAGCGGTTGTTCCCCTCTCGATTTGTATTTGGTGCATTAATTTTCCTAACTTTACGCTTAATTTGACGTTCTTTTGCAATATCAGATTTAAACTGTGATTCTGGAAGTAAATTACATACTCAAATGATAAATAAAACATGAATGTAGAAAAATAAAATTAAAGTGAACAATGTATTTAAATATTGAATATATTCTATAATAAGAGAATTTTCAGTGCGCATCAATGAATTAGCAACCACGACATTAGTATTAAAATCTTTAGCTGAAAGACTACGAAAAGTATAATTATAATATGACTCACAGTAAAGATGAGGTAATTTGGCTACTAAAAGAATAAACTTAAGTTATAGTACAAATATAATTTTAAGTATCTCTACACAAAAAATCTGTTTCCAGGTATGCATGGTAAAGGGACTTATTTTGTTGAGAGTTCAGTCTGGCAGATTATAAAACCATCAACAACAAAATTGATGTGCAGAGAGTTAAAAACTAGGAACTACAAAAGGTACATACCTCTATGTCTTCAAATAAACTGAAAATATTTTGTCCAGTTACAATTAATGCCGGTAAGGTCGCGATGGTAAATAAACGAAATATTTTCCAAAATTTGGTCCTGTCTAATGTTCTTGGAGCAGAAACATGATCCCTTTCAGCACGCCTTTCTGCAAATGTAATACCTATGCTTTGTGATCTCAAAGCATGTGGAATAGAGTTTCCTGTTATAACATTCATGTTTTTATCTTAATTTCAAAACCTTAACACAAATGCGAAGTTTGAAACTTATATGTATTCAAAACCAGGTTTTGACCAATGTTTTAATATTTTAATTCATTTTTACTTTTGTGCAATTCATTTAGGTAATTTGAATAAAATATCAATTATCATAGTTAATTCGATTTTATTTGATTTTGATTTTTTTTAATAGTTGGTGTTGTATTTTACTTTGTACTCTTATTTATTTCCGTCTCTAAAAACTGTTATTCTTTCGTATGTTTACATTGCTTACAAAGCGATTATAAAATATTCCTGTTTCCTATTTTTAAAAGTTTTCCACCGTAGATGAGAATACCTCAAATGGTTTCAAAAGAACTGATGGAAACAAAAAATCCAATAATATTCCATGCAATAAACTCCCGTATATACGTACAAAAAAAGAAAGCCGATACCATTCAATAGCTGATGAATATATATATATATAAATTATTACATTAAAATGATTGCTTCATTGTGCTTAATTAAAGGATTTCTTGCCTTAAAATTTTACAGTTAAAAAAAAATTGTCGTATTTTGTGTTCCGGTTGTTATTTAAAGCACATGTCTACATCAAATACACATTGCATAAACAGCGTTGGAAGATCACTATAATATATATTTATTTCAGAATTTTTATTGTTAACCCTTTCAGACTGGCTTCTATGAAACAAAATGCAAGATTGCGAATTTTGACTGTTTTTATTCAACATGTTGTGTTATAGGTATACAGACTTTTCACTCCTAAACCGGTTCACACCAAAACGTTGCACACCAAGACATTTAACCCAAAAAATGGGAAACATCTGGAACTCAGTTGTTTATGACATTTGTGTAAATAATCTGCGAAGATGCATAAAAGACAACATAAACGCGAAAATGCGAAAGAATCACGAAAAAAAAACAAATATGCAGCGCGAAGACACGACAGGCTAGAGGTGAAATCACGACACATTTTATGCATAGCTTTGACGTGTGTTTGCTTTTTTACGTCAAAAAAAACGAAAGTACGATGAAGAAAACGTCTTGGTTAACAAGACATTAATTAGCCGCCATAGATTTTACACATGTGCAATATCTTTGTTTTCAAAATAGCTTTTGTTACCCATTAAGTGAAATATGATATAGCTTGATTCTTATATTGATTTAAATACTAGTCAGCAATATCATTTTGTGTGATTTAAAATTGTATAATATGATTATTAAATTTGAAGACATATACTGTAGTAAGTGAATTTTATTTTTTATTACTATTATTATTTTTACAGACAATTTAAAAGTTGTTTGAAATCTAGTGCAATTATCATAGAATGAAAAGACGTTTTCAACGTCAATATCAAAAGAATATTATAGCATACAAAATTCAAAACGCAAATAAATTCAATGGAATAATAAAGCCGGAAAACTTAATAAAGTAAAATTTTGTAACTTATTTCTACTTTATAATACATTAACTAATTAGTTAGAATGCATGTAAACATTTTTCTTGTACATATTATATAAATCTTTACTTTATTAGTTCAAAGTTCAAATTTACATGGTAAAGTGTGTTACATCAATGGCGTTTTTAAAATTTACAGTAAACAGAAATTGTGAAAGTTCAGAAGATTTATTTCAAGCAGAAGATGGGTAAGTAGATTTACTATTCCTACCTTTTCAATAAAGACAGTTTTCTTCATCAAATAATGTTAAGGCTAAAATAATTCTTGCAGGCTGGAAACATGTTAACTTTTTATTGCATATTTTGGTCACATACGCTAGATATTGATTTAAAAATGCGTAATCTTTGAAAATCCCTAACCATAAACCCTGCCTGAAGTTTAGAACTTCTTGTAAAACATTGTCTAGAAACCGCTATCAAGTTTGTTTGAATCTTGAACCGCGGTTAAAATTAATCCTATTTATCTGTTTTGTCAAATCATGACACTATTGAGACCCTCATTGAAATAACTTAAAAGGTCATGATCTCTCAAAGCATGAGGCTTTAATTTGATTGCAGAGATTTTCCTCTTCCGATTTCATGTGAAACACCAAATTGAGGACTCTATAATAGAGAGTTCTCAAAGCTTTTGGAAATGATTTTTTATAAACATTCGTCTTTTGTCTGCTGTTTGGCTTCCTCGATTTTTGCCTTCACTTAAGACATTGCGTACTCTTGCAATTGGCAAATATAAACCAATAAGGGTTTGTGAGGTTTTGTAAACCCTCAAACGGTTTAAACTTCAAGTTTTGTTTTAACCTGTAACCGTTTTATGGCGTTTTCCCTCTTTTTACTTTCACAGGTATGGCTTGTGTGATGTTGTATATTTTGTACGAGTTTATTTCTTGTTAAGTGTTTTTGGCGCGGCAAGTATTTCCTTTCCCCCTAATTTCCCATTTTGTGCTGCACACTCTTTCCCTTGCAACAAACCGTCGTCTTTTTCATTCAGTATAAGGCCTTTTGATATTTGTATTTCATAATATTTTTCTTATTGTATATATTTTTCTTATTTTTCTTTATTTTGTTTAGATAATTGTAACCGAAACTGGCATGTTCCTTCCCTCTTTTGTCTGCCGTTTGCGTTCTTTTTTGTTTTGGTTCGTTGGACCTCTGAATGCCTTGCTATCCGATCTGGATAGTGCCGGGGTTGCATTCTGGAAATAAACCAGAGCCTTGAACTTTGATCTTACCTTATTATTAAGTTTTGAGTTTGCTAAAATACAATGGTTTTCAGATGAACTGGTTATGGTCACCATGCCATCTCATTTGTTTTATTTACTGGCATTCAGATGAATAAAGAATAAGAACATTTATTGATAGTTTAAGAAATATAGGGGAAAATGTCAAATGTATTTTGCTTGTATATATCATTTTATGAACAAAAATCTAGCCAATTTACGACAGGAGTAAGAGAAAATTAAAACATGGATGTTTTTAGAATTATGAATAGGTTGGTGTAAAGAATAAATCGAAACTTCTATTCTATTGCTTAAGTTTGCTTCATATCCTGTCAGATATCGACTATGTATATTTTTATCTAAATAATGCTATCACATGATGGCCTTGAGGGTAATGATCTCCAAGCAAACGGACACTTATTTAAAAACCCCCTGTCAAGATCCCATTTTTAAATTAGGCGTAACTATTTTTTAAATAAAATGGTTGAATCTTTGGTATAAACAAAAATATTGCCTTTATGTACGCTTCAGTAATGTGAAAGTCGTACATTTATGTCTAGACATTGGAGGGTATAATATTAAAAAGAAATTGTAGACGTCTGTCTTCATTCAAACATACGGACGATATGGTACATTAACTTTGATTTTCTATTGATACAAATGATAAGCAAAAATAATAGTATTAAACTTTAACAAAAAGAAAAGTTTAAGATCAGGATTTATCATTGCGTTGTTGAAAACCGATATCACTTATTTCATAAGTGATCAAATATTGAAAATGAATGCATATCTGTGTTTGGATTTGAGCAATATAGAAATGAAGGTCATACAGTGAAACCTGTCTAATCCGAACTCAAACGGACCAGAAGAAAAGTTCGGATTAGAACAGTTTTCGGATTAGTAGGTTTTTTTACATGTTTGTTAATGTTACTGGCAGAAAAAAATAAGGAAAGAAAACGGGAATGCATTTGTACTAACCTTTTAATTCTAGTTACCAATCCCTGAGTGTTAAAGTTGCGTGACATATTTTAAAACACTGTAAGTGTAAGTCGGAAACGATACCATTTTCATTTTTCGATGGTATCATTATAATATAATTACTTATGCAAGTTATACAAATCTTGTATTTATGTTTGCAATGGAATATAATAAAAGTGGTAAGGCACACCTTGAACACAGTATGATGTGATAAGCTGCGTTACAATTTTGTTCATTATGCATTAGTTGTGTGTAAAAGTGTAAAAGCTTGACAGATATCTACTGATATCCTACTGCCTACAAAACTGTCCAAACCAGAACTGTGTTGTTAGGGATAAATACTAAAAAGGTACTAAGTTAAACCCATATACAAATTTCAATGACTGTTTTAAACTTTATAAATTGTAAAGACATGCATAAATTGTCAAAGAATACATATGCGAAATAATATCTAGCTGCACACACACTAAAAAACCAAATGAATGAACGCTCGAGTTTGCTTTGTGAAAAATGCATTTGGTTGTAGAACAGAAAAAGATTAAATAAATCAATTCGCGCAGCAGTATCTTGCTATGAAATAAACAGATGTTTAAGTAAAAACATTCTTTAGGTAATTATAAAAAGTACTTGCTAAATTTCAGATAGAAAATGTTAAAACGGAAATAAAAACGTAGAGAGACTGGGTTTCATATATATTATTACAAATAAAATAAGAAGTGGATATCCCTCGACAGCAGTTAATTCGAAGGGAAACTGAAAAGATTAAAAGTGCAGAAACAATTTAATCGAGTCTGTTTATGATAGATAATATAAGATGCAGTCTCCCTAACGTCTGCTTCACGTCACGCATTTCGTCCTTTCAAAATTGTTGATAGTGTCGGTATTTTCATACAGTAAATGCGCTTCAAAACAATTATGAATGTGTTTATAATGGTTTAATAGTACTTATTATAAGGTAGGATTTATGTACGTTAAGATAAGGTGGTAAGGTAACGTAAGGTAAAGTGAGGTACGGTATGGTACGTAAGCGAATTAGTAAGTATATTACATGTGCCTGTTAGCATAGCACCCGCCTTAATTGGCCAACTAGTCACAAAACATCATATAAATATAATGAATAAAATATGCATGTATTTACATCCATGTATATGTTGTCGTTTTGAAATACAAATTTGTGTCAGATTTGTATATAACTGACAATAAAACTAAAAAACAATATGTTTGAAAAATCGGCCGGTTAAAGTAATAAATCACGGTAGGGAATCACGTGACTTTTACGGTTACGCGTACAGACCATATGGCGGCCTAAACACATCGCTTCACATGTGTTTTTCAGGTAATTCTTT